CACACTATTCTTGCACATTTCTTGTTAGGTTTATTCATAATTATTTGTGGCTTGTATTGCCATCATAAATTGGATATTTTTTGCAACAAACTTCTAATTGGTTATTGCTAGCATATAACAGAGCTATTGATTCCCATACATTTTTGAGAGGGACAGTCATCTCCCCACTGGCCATGTCTGTCAGCATCAGTCTGGAACCAGTTCTGTTCAACTGTAACTCCCTGGATGTCCTTAATTGAGTCTCTTCCAATTCCGGCCTGTTTCCCCACGTGTAAAATGAGTGGGTTCAACTAGATTAACTAGATTACTGTTTTTCAAATGCAGGTTGAAAGCCAGTTGAGGATCATGAAATAAATGTAGTGGGTCAAGACCAGCATTTAAAAACTAATAATAAAACGGAGTAGAACCAAAAGTACCAGAATTCATCATACTAAGGGCAGTTACTATTTTTGTTAAACTGTTTCCTCACCAATATGTGTGTACATGCACATGTGTGTAGTGTGTGTGTGTGTGTGTACACTGGGTTATAATGTAAACAGTATTTACTAGGTGAGTTGCAATTCAAGAAACTTGAGGAGCAGCTGGGTGGCCCAGTCAGGTAAGCATCTAACTCTTGGTTTTAGCTCGGATCATGATCTCAGGGTTATGAGATCAAGCCCCACCTCGGGCTCTGTGCTCAGCAAGGAGTCTGCTCCTCGGGCTGCTTCAGACTTTCTCCCTCTGCCCCTCCCCCCAACCCATGCACACACACACACACTAAGATAAATTAAAAATCTTAAGAAAAAAAAAAAGAAAGGAAAGGAAAGAAAGAAAAAGAAAGAAAGAAAGAAAGAAAGAGAAAAAGAAAGAAAAGCTTGAGGGTCACTGCAGAGAGTAACCCCCAAGGGCCCATCCCTGCTCTGCAATCCAAGAATTTGGAATTTGTATCCATGGCATTGGGTTGCTTTTCCCGCCATCAAAACAAACTGGTCTGCAAGAAGCAAATAACAGGACAGACAAAGCAGCTACCATCTGCATAATTTATACACATCTCCCCTTCACACACACACACCCACCACACACACACACACACACACACCCACCA